ATGAACAGCAGACGGGGCGAACGCCACAATTACGAGGACCTGCTGTTCAGTGGTGGAAATCGGCAACCCAAGCCCCGGGACATGGAGTGGCGAACCACATAAGGAACCCGATAGGTTAGTCGTTGTATTGAACCGGACGACAGCGAAGCTGCCTACTACCAAAGTCGGGTGGCAGTGGCAGGACTCGAACCTCGGACTATAGACCAAAGCACGTCGGTGACAGCGAAAAAACCACTGCACCACCACTACCCAGTATTGTTTTAGTTTCCCTAACGTTTCATCATGCGTCTCGAGGCATCTACTTCAGTACATTAGATCCAACAGCTAGACACCTTTATTTATGTATATGAAATAAGAAAACCTAACGAGCTTCTTGCATGCAGATCAAAATTGTATCAATATAAATTATGATTATCAAGTGATTTAATCCCATTTCTCGCTGTGGGTGACACAAATTATCAGCTCCAAAGCTGAATGCGAACTACATAGTTGAAAACCTTAATTCAAATGTTTCCCCATCATAGTCACTCCTATGATAAAGTACCATTTCTAACCGAGAATCGTCCTGTCATCACATAAATGACCTACTTTGCATGCCAAACCATTTTGATCACATGAGCTTATTGATCTGGTCTCGACAATTCTACACAAACCGATCATGAAGATCGCAGAATGTGCATAGTCTTTGACAAAATATCCTCTGAAGATTGCACTCGTCAATTGACTCTTATTTATACACCACAAATTACACCTTAACTAATGAACAGCAGTAAATTCTTTAAATTGTACTTTTATTCAGTTCATGTCACTGCCCCCTCACTATGGTTCCTCTGATTTCCTTTGCAGATGGAAATCCCTGGAGCTATATAACGAAGGAATTGTTGAGAGCAAGTAAGTGGATACGACATTCCCGGTGAGATTAGTTGCCAATATTCCATCGCTTATCCATAACTTATCTGAATGAAGGAATGTATGATGTCGAACGGTAATTGCAGTACCGATTTAGCTCCGCCTGATTCGCTAATTCACAAATAAATGCACTCACTTTCATCGGTCACACGTAGTATGGCAGTAATTGAATGAATAACCTCTCGTTCGGTCAAATACAGACGTTATAGAAGCAATCATGTTTGCATGGCCCACAATTTACAGCATGTATCGAAGAGCTCGGACGTTATTGATCATAATCCTGTAAAGTTGGCAAGCCAATCATTACCCGAGTGGTTTTATTGATGCGTGGTCAGAAATGGGGCCTTTTTTAATACTGTCGAAATCCTCCGTGACTTTATTTAGGTGTATTCATAAGTTTCTTAGAAGATGGTCTAAACGTTCGGTAAATTAGGTCTGAGAATCACCGGAATATTCCCAACCGACTTATGTCAAACGGGATAAATCTATTCACAAGCGTTCAGCGCAATTTCGATTATACTGAATTGTATTGAAACACTGCACATAAATTCGGTCGAGCTTGAGTTCAGGATATTGCAACGCACAAGCAATCACCGAACAATGAGGGTATAGCCAAGGTTTGCATACTTAATGGGTCACCCTAGTACAAACAGAGATAATCTTCCGTAATAATCTCAGACCTCGAGGAACGAGATAAACTCTCTGATGGTGCCTCCGACGAACGATATTACAGAAGAATAGCAGGAAGATTGAGTTTACAATTTGAGAACATCGGTAGGCAATTCAGAGAGCGAACCTACGCTATGAGGAGTTGGTGGTCAACAGTTGTCGAATGGTTCGACAGCAAATGAACAATTTCTGGTTGGCGGACACTATCATCACTGAACTGCAGGTCTTCGTGACTATGGGGTCGGCCCCGTCTGCTGTTCATCACACACTGGTGTGCAGTAAAAAAATAAACTTCATTTGCTGTTCCGATGTGTGTAGTCTTTGCTTGTGTCTGGAAACGACGCACCGTACCGACGAACATTTACTTACAAGAAAATACCGTATATGATAATTCCTGCTAGGGCTAATCCAAACCGGTGACGGGTTTGCTGTCTAACTACCGCACACCAAACGGTACACCAGTGCAGAACAGTAGTCATAATTAGGATTCGGTTTATTAAAAATGGGCCTCTGGGTAAATTTTGATAGGAAAGCACTCAAAAATTGAGATCGTTCTCTCATATTTTCCATTAATCAATTGTGCCACCCCACCCTCCACCCCCGTCCACCTTAGAATATTCGGATTTGTGGCCATCAATCAGGTGAATCCATCTGGCAGCCCGCAATGTCATTTGTTCTGCGAATACGATCTGAACGAACCGGCGAATGTCATCTGTGATTTCACAAATCGATATCTGAACCTACTTAACGTGTAAATAAGTGTCTACTCTGGGAAGAAGAGGAGTGGAAGATCTGACGTATGATCATCAGTAGCCATTTCATTTACAACGTTTTGTTTGTTGTTCTTTTCTTGGGTCAGCAGAAAAGGATGCCTCCCCCATTGTGTATCTAGTCCAACTATTTCGTTTCGCTTGAAAAAAATGTGGTTTCACGAAATCCCTTTGTTGTTTTCTTCTTTATTTTAAAACATCAAGAACCAGAAGAAACGATTAGTTATGATGTAAAAGCAACATTCTTCTTCACTTCTCACAAAATGTGAAACGTAGCGTGAAACCTAAGAAGTTCTATCCTTACAAACACGCTACCGCTTAAGAAACTCACATAAAGGTTCATTTACCAGTTCAAGTAGATGCGTTTTGAAAGACGATATTCCACGGGATATATGAACATCGACTTGAAGGACTTGCTTTTTAACAATCCGTCCCACGCATTCCACAATTTCGGGCCGATACCGAATTTTTAGCAAACTGTTTCCCCCTTGATCACCAATCGCGAGAAAGTTGAATCAAGCATTCGAAATAGTTGAGTAAAAAATTTCGGAAAGCTGAGATGGGTTGTCAACAAGCAACTAATTTGGAGTAGATCAACCTGGTTTAAATAAAAAGCTGTGAAACCTGAAACTAAACGTGGATCAATCGTCTGGTTTTCCGTGTAGTGGATTCTCTCTCGTGCCAACATCGAACGAACAATCAGATCAGGCGTTTACATCTTTTTAACATCGAGAATTTGCCAGAGGTTCAAGTGAATTTCCCAATCGCATTCTACCGGCAGCCCCACGAACTGATTGGTAATTTGGCCGCTACGCGCCATCTGTCGGACCGAGTCCAGTCGGAATGAGGTGACATCTTCACAGCCAAACCAAAATACTTTTATTCATCTACCAAGCGAGAATATAGACTTCAGTTGGAATTGAATGTGAATTTTCATCCCTCAGGAAAGTAATGCAATTGGCTGTTGATCAAATGAGATTTTTTACGCGAGAATGAACAACCCTGAACCAAGTGATCGCAGTTGACCGTGTAACTAAACCAGTCGAAACTGAGTGGGTCGCTAATCAGACGTCAGCACTCAAATACAAATGTAGTCGCGATCCGCTGAAGGGTTAGGTCTAGCCTAAACTCACAGTGATCTTTAAGACCGAGCTACGCTCAAATTTCATCACCTGTTGTGTAACAAATGTATTGCATTCTTTATACAGAAAGGCAAAATCAACAGAAGCTCAACAGGCAATTGAATATAATGAAGAAAGTAGTGGTGATCCAGCCGAACAATCAGACTACCCGATTATTCGCAGATTCAATGAGATATTTTCTTCCATGATACCCAGACCAACTACTGGATTCTGCTTATAAGACAAACTTTATCCTGATATCTGGTAACCTACACATAACATCAGCACTACTGATACATCTATGTCATCATATTCAATTTCTACGCCATAGAGACACGACAGATTGACTCCTGCAGTTGGCTCTTCCTCCGAATCACTCGTCACACACCAACGTTAAATAAACTAAAATTTCGGAGAATGCTCACCGTCGTATCGAGAACACAATTTCAGGCGAACAACTGTATTCAGTAATTCCACTTCACCTGTTCGTCTATCGTGGCAATTTGTTTGCAAACGTTTCATCACCAGACGATATGATATCGTCAGTGCTTGTGAAGTGGTCACGTCACGTTTGAACAGCTCCGGCGTGCGAATAATGATCATTCACGATGTAGAATATGCAAGAACGTCGTATCATTGTAGCTGTGGTACACACTAAGGGAGGAGGGATATTCAAAAATGTCAAGAGATTAACTTCCAATGACCGTTCTGTTCACCAATTTATTCTTCTTTTGTTCTCAAATAAGTTTGAGAACGATGCGAGGAAAAGGTATCTTTAAACATACTTTTGCGTCGTTTCTTCATAGACATATTTACCGGTTACAACTGGATCGAAGTTGTGACAAACCCGGTCTAATAAGCGATTTGACTGCCAAAGCAACACTCTTTTCGAGAGTGGGAGGGGGAGGGTACCGTTAAACGCGATTGGTGGATTCGTTCAAGTCATAATAGCCTCACTTGAAGTTGAAATATATACGTGATTTTGTGAATGACTTTATACTCACCGTCCATGTATCTTTATTATGTCCTATTACATCATAGGTTCTCTGTGTGCTTGTTTATTAGAACAAACAGATTCACCTAATCCGGCTGAACTGAACACAGATTCGGGAAAAACTTGAAGGACTGTTATTCACTAATCTTGTCACTTATGGCCAATGTGCAACGCAGATTAATCGTGTAACCGGTTGGCTGGAAATAGCTATAATCATACTTTGGACGACCGAACCCCTCGAGTGAATTGATAAAAAAATAATACAATTCAGTTGAAGATGAAAATGTTAAGTGGTAAAAGTTTTCAACAAAAGGTGGTTGGAAAGAGAGATATGGCACAATAAAACTGTTCAATCAGTGCACAACAGGATTCAAGGGCTCAGCACGAATTGATGAAAAATCTATTCTTCGGTCCAGATCTTCGTCTATTTCGCCGACCAGAGCTCTGGAAAGTCAAAGGGAGGAGAAAATGTTCCACTAATCGGTTGAATAGACGAGTGAATACGAAATATGGAAACAACGGAAATGGACAAAGTAAAAATACTGCAGGATATTTGACCAAAGATTCCATCAGAGGGTGATAAATACGCTTGCGAACTGTCGTTGGTAATTTGTTCGGGTATACAAGATTCCGTAACAAGTACCTTACTAAATTTCGAAGGTGAATGACGCAAATAAACCTTTGTCAATTGCATTTAACCCACAGTAGTGGTGTTAGACACCTGATATGGATTTTGACAGACGATCCCCCAGAGTTCATCCAGCACAATTATCAGTCCGTTCGGTTCACGATGCTCGTGAGCGAAACTCGAGTTTTCTCCTTAGGGTAAAACTGACTTGAAAATAAGAAACCTGAGCGCGAGGATCAAGTCGGAAGGATGATCACTCAAATCACGTGGTGGCGATTAAGCAGTTCAAGTTATTGTCACTAGTGTGCTCTGGGCCCAAAGGTTAGAAAACTGGGGATAGGCAGCTTTGTTACTGTTTGGCCCAATGCTACTACTGTCTAGCACTACTGCTATTGTCTTGTGCAGCTTCTTAACCCAGGGTCTAGGTCTTACACTATTGATGCTCAGAACCGAACAGTAGGTCCACGTGACAATGGGATCTATTCCTCGTTGTTGTTCATCACATTACAGCGTGTAATGAAAAATTGCCAAATGGTCCAGACACTCCTCATCTATCTCTACTTCGTCCAATGATTGTCACGGAATTTGGGAATCCAACTACCAGTCATTCAAAAGTTTACTCTACAATATTAACAAACAGGTTTCTAAAGTGATTGCAATTCCACTGAGTACCTCGGGTGACATAAACTGTACCTTTGCGTGTTATTGAAAGAGCACCGGACCTTCAGAACATCGATCCAATTGGTTCTGCCACCGAAAGTACTACAAGTGATTCTAGATAAATCCAACCTCATTCAGTCCGACTTCCAGAAGGCAGAGTGAGGTTTCAAGTCGTCGTTGGCTGATTCTGACTAGACCTAATCGACAAACCAATCAAACAGTTAATCTGTTTTTCAGCCTATAACACGGATACAGCACAAGGATGCGTGAGCGATTGAACATTTCGTACCCAAACATTTGATGTGCCAAGCAGAATCGGGAGTGTGAATGTACAAGCATGCTAGATTGCAAACTGCCTCTGGGAACCGCGTGTTTGGCTTGTTATTGTGACCTCTCGAAGGGTTCTAGACCCAGGAACTGCAAGTGATCATCTGCACAGGGAGGGGGTCACACATTATCTCGCTCAATAGATTTACCATCTAGGAACAACAACGTCAAACCAACCGGAAATTGAAAAAAACAAATGAGAAGGAACAATGGATGATTAGACTTACACGTTCTGACCACGAATGATGAACAGACCAAGAGGGACATGTTCTACTCCCTCAGTCGGACTGAATACGCGCTCCTGGCTGTCCTTAATTACCAAGTTGATCACATTATCAAAACCTTTCAAGGTACCCTGAGTGAAAAAAGGGAGGAGTGGTTAACCGGGTATCTTGCACGATTACCGGTGTTTGGGATTTGTAGTTGGAAATCCAGAGGAAAACAACACATCGATCAGATCCGCAACCAAATCTGGATACGCATGGCATCATTATCACCCAGTTGACGACGTTGAAACGAACTAATTTTTCATGGCAAGCAAGTGAATTCAGCAAAAAAGAGTATATGTTAAAACTGTATGTGGGATTCACGATAACTCTATGCTCTGCATTACCAGGGAGTTCACACTGCCATTTTATGTGTCCAGTGCGGGAAAATCGGGTGCGTACTAGTTTTTGGTGTGCAAGTATCCCTGAGATGGAACTGAGTGACTACGTGTATCAAACCATACTTCCAGTGGCTGAAAGACAAGTTGCACATCGAATGGACTGAAGTGTGAGGTCGCCATTGTCAACATCAGTATCATCCAAGATAGATATTGTCAGCTGTTAGCAATGAGGAAGTACCCGGAAACTTCAAAGCTTAAAACATACCATGACATGCCACCTCAGTTGCTGAAAGCCTAGGAGTAATTTGCTGCTCCCCAACGGTCTTGCAAACAAGAGTGATGTAATATGCATGTTCTGTTTCATCTAACCTCAGTAAACGCAGAAGTCAAACAAGCCTGTCTTCATGACCGAACAGTTACTTCGACAGAAGGCAGACTATTTATGTAAAACTACAATGAAATCCGTAGGAGCCGGATAACTGACTCTGTCTAAGATCTAGGGCTGACCAAGAACACAACGAATACAGGAATGTATGAGAAAAATGTGGGCATGGTGAGAGAAGAAAGGCGGGAGTCATGAACGGATACAGTAGGAAACTAAATATTTACTCACCACAATCGTTCGACCGTCTGATGTGATCACATTGACCATTCCTTAAGTGCAAAGTAGTTTAGTCAAGGCAAATATATCGATTGATATATATATATATATATATATATATATATATATATACNTATACGGATAATACGTATGAGTACATAAACCTTCCCCGGGAAGCACACGATCGACTCAGGAATCCCCCTCAATGAAGAACAGAGGCAGAAAATTGCGATCACCCCTTTTGAAACGTTGTGCACAGGTGGAGGCATCTAACTTAGGGAACAATATTGTCTGACTGGATAAAATGCAGTGTATGCTAACTAGAATGAAAGCAGGTGAAGAGATAGGATTTAGGAGCAAAGATTAATAGGTCTTAAACTGCTTTCACGTAAAAAAGAGGTTAGTTACGAGGGTACTAATCGAAATTTTTAACTCTAGAAATTATCTGCCCTAAACGTAAATAGAGTGCTAGATTCCATCTCAGACAATGACATTAGGGTACATAGCCTTGGACCACAATACTCACAAATCAGCCCAAGCTCAGCGTCAAATTCTTCCCCAAAAGGGTAATAACACTACGCAAAAAGGCGACACGAACGGGGTGGTAAACTGAACGAGCGTCAAATTCATCGAGAAGACAATAGACGATGATTGGTCTGGCATATTGTAGAGATAGAGTGATGTTTTATTATGCTAGTGAGGCGTTATGTGGCTGTCACTCCAAGTACAGCGACCAAGGTTGCCGGTTCCCACGAGTGCACAGTTGGTCCATGGGTTTACCTCTTTCTGATGCTCATCACACGGTAGAACGTAATAAAGAAAAATGAATTTGTCTTGTACGCGTTTGTCTAGAATGTAATGATGCCTTAAGAAATCTACCTTGCGAAAATATCTATTGACTCAAAGAGTTAAGAACGAAAGGAGCCACTGCTGGTATTAAGAACTTGATGCACGACTGGCATGTGTCATAGGTCGACCTGTGACAAATGAACTGAAATGATCCAGGGCGGTTCAGTGATCGCGACCGAATCGTTATTGTGAAATAATGATTTCAAGATTGATGTGAGGAAGTGCTGAATTTGGAAGTGTCGATGCATTCCAGGGACGAGATCACGCGAAAGACAAAGGGCTAAGCATCGAATAGGAATTTGGGGTCAACTAACCAATGAAACGAACTAAAGTGAAGCAAATGTAACCACAGCATTCCGACCTCAAAGTGAGCTGATAGCTTTCCCAAATCGGTTGGCAATTCAATACAATATTTCTTCAAAGTACCATTGGGGTCAGTGTACTGATATTCTATGAAGGGTAAATGGCCGCTTTTCCTCGTAAATAAAAACATAAGTCAAGCACTATGGTGAAGCGAGACACGCACACCTCAAGGAAGATTTTGACTTGAAGTAATCAATCATTGAAATTGAAATAGCCTGTATATAATACAGGCTATTTCAATTTCAATGATTGCAATGAATGTTGGAGCACCGGAAACTCAAAGACGCAAAAGGATACGTCCTACATAAGCCTCCAGTTCTGACGCCATTTCTCAATTGACTGCAATAGAAAATAGGGGAGCAGGTTAACACTAAACGATAATCGGATTGAACCAGGAAATACGGAACATATCATGAAAGAAAATGAATCAATTTCAACAGTGATCTGATTGGAACCAACTATAATATTCAGTGTCATAACGCACGAATCGTCTCGATGCTATATTCTCAAATAATTGTACTCCCGATAAACTCTCGGTCACATAGCGACTCATCAGGTCGTGAACGAGAGCACATCTAAAGGGCACGTATAACCACCTGGATTTATTTCATCGAAAGCGCGATAATTTGTGGAAAAGCGAGAAGACAAGGAGATGCACGAACGGGACCATTGGTTCACAGGTCCGTTAGCAACCGTCTTAACTATCTGTGGGTCGTGACTAATCACCTGCGTTGGATCATTCTTGGTCTGATAGGTTGGGCCAAAACAAACCCGAAATTAACAAATGAGTGAAAGTTTATGCAAACATTTTGACGCTGTAAATGTGCATGATCACACACTCATCCAACCTGCACATACACAGACAAGCGGACGTTCAAATATGTCGAACTTCGAGCCGGCTACCTCATCGCCCTACAGTCGGTCCCTGCTTCAAACTCGCTGGCGAAAAATTGTATTTTTATTCCGATTGCGCTTACACAACGGCGAAAAAGGTACGCAATGGTAATAAACTTATCAGCAATTAAGGGTATACAGATGATGGAAAGGAGTGCATACCAGTGCCCACGACACTTGTAAAGGTACTCAAGGTTTTACCCGCTTTCTGGTTGGAACCCAGTAAACCGACTATCCTGAGTGCCACACCTCAGGGTTTGACACTGCGTTGTATACATGTGCGCCTCAACCATCGTCCAGCCTGCAGGCTGTATCTGATAGGCTTATTAGAGAGTACCCGAGGTAAATATCCGCAGTGGCTGAGTATACCAATCATCAGTTGACCACTATGATGCAGTTTTCCAACTCTAAACTTAATATTCACGATCGACTTGTCCCAGCTTACATGAGCAGCGATGTACATAGATAGGGATGCAAACACAAGACAGATTTATGGTAAGTGAGAGCAGAACATCTCAACAGAAGCATTACATGAAAAAACATGAATGAATAAATAAACGAAATAGTGTAATAAAAAAATGTATTTTTAGATCGAATTGTGAGCAGAAGTAATCAAATATACAAGATCACTGGTAGTGACGGGGGAATTGTTGGGATTCGAAATGCGTTGAGAGAAATGAAATGTAGGAAATTAATGGAGATGATAGTTTATTCAGTCGACCGAATTCGTGACTGGCAGACGCATCGACAACCATTTCCGATACACGGGTAGGAAACGTCTAAATGCAGCAGCTGCATACGATGGGATTGCTATACC